AGGCAGCCCAATAAAGCGCTCAGTGAAGGAGATCAGTACCGAAGAAGACATTGCTGACCTAAATCAAATAGCTTTGGAGGCCTATGGACAAAAGTTGGCTTACTTCAAAACGGAAACAGTCAAACCAATGGAGACAAGACTAGGACTCCTCGAGAGGCATTTGTTTCTGCGAAAGTTTGGGTATGCCGCGCTCGACATTTCCAGTACTTGGGATGCCAAGTGGAAAGTGCAACTAAATTTGGAACGCAAAAACTAAAAACTTATTGACGCACCTATTATTACAATTTTATATTTAACTGATAAAATTTTCTTGGTCCTCAGGGGAATGTAGTACTGCGGTTGCAGTAACCTTGAGCTAGAACATAGTACTATTACTGCAGTTGCAGTTAAGTGTATTATTGGCGCTATGTAATTATATTAATGATATTGTTACTTTGTATAGTCAAGGTCAGAGGTGCTGTTTTAGAAGTTTATTTATTGCTCACTTCAGTTCGCCATACTCATGTATGGATTTAAGCCATTCATTCTGAGCTACTTACGAAAGAACAAAGAACGTAACACTAAACTTTGAAATTCAACAATTAAACATTATTTTTTTTCTTCTTAAGATAAAAGCCGTTCTACTAGTTATCACACTGATAAAACAGTCTTGTTCCCGAAACGATTTGATAATATCATGCCAAATGCTTAGCCTCGGAAAAACTGGTAATGTTTCTTCTTTGTGAAGGCAAATTAATCGATTCATAATACGGGTAGTATATGCATTCACTCATTTAGGATGAATCAAAATGGAAGAGATCAGGATTTAGAAGTGAAATAAATTAACCAGAAGAAAATTGAAAGAAGTTGTTTTTGCCAGTGAAATTTTGACTTGAATGATACACAAGAAAAGCCAAATTTTTCTATGAAATATTTTAAAACGTTGACTCCAATATCTGACAATACAGTATTCGTGTTTTTAAAAATTCAACATAACTTACACATTAGACAGGTGAATTACCAATAACGACAATTGAATAACCAGTTTGCATCGGGATAAAAACTTATCAAGCAGCAACAAAGCCGACACTACTTGAGTAGCTATCCGTTCTGCCGTTTTTATTGGAAGAAAATTATAAAAAATTTTAGTCTTTATAGCGCATACGCCTAATAAACTTTTCGCTCGTCAAACGAAGCAATATGAGGCACTAAGCTGACATAATATAAACCAAAACTTTTTAAGCCAAAGAAATGAGCGGCCGTACCTCTGTGAGCCGCTACGGCAACATGGATGGCAACTATCTCCCCAAAGAAGGAAGGAAAAAATAGAGCCGCGGGCAAAAAAATGAATAAATTGAAATGAAAAAAAAAAAAAATGGAAATCAGATGGAATCGGATTTGATAGATTTACAACACACACACTCACACACACACACACACACACAAAAAAAAACAATAATAAAATTTGAATAGTACGAGTAACTAAAATGAAGGTATCCTCAAAATACTTTTGTTGGCTGACGAAGATACACATGAGAAAATGATTCAGTGATACTGTTAGACAAAATGTTTGCCTGGAAAAGCAGTCTATGTTCCGCTTTGATAACGCTTGCTTATCGAAATCGTAAAGAAGATATATACTTTAGTTAGAAAGTGCTTCAAATTAGTCTCAGACAGTTGCTCTATTTCGATTCAAATATGACTTTAAAAGCGCAACGATTCGCAAATTCACTTTTGATTGATTCATAAGCCCTTCGTAGTGCCTTTTTTCTGTAGTTATAACGGAATAGAAGTGTTTTGCGTTACGCTTTGATGTAGTTGCAAAAATGAGAAATGATGAAACTTACCACGATTTTGCTTGCAGATTTTAACAAGCAACCCAGGGTGACCGCTTTTTTGAGAGAAACATAGTGACTATGACAATTTTCGAATTTTTTGTCGACTTTTTTTTGGTCGGCCAAATTTATTTTTCAAGCTCTGCCAAAGCACTAAAAAGTCCCTGTTTTGGCCAAAGCTTTTTCCGCGCCGCAGGCATAATTTTGAATAAACAGGCTGAAAAAGTCAGTTTTATTCACTTTTTGAAAAACTTTGAAAAAAATATTTCGTTTTCTCGGCGCGCGTTCCCCCCTTAATATTAGTACATATTAGAAAAATGTTAGGGTCCGTCACCAAAAACCGTTGTAAATAGTGACTTTTAGTGACCATTGAAAAAATAGTGACCAATTCGTGATCAATAGTGACTGGTCACTAAAATAGTGACCAAGTGGTCACCCTGAAGCAACCTGATAGGCGATAGCTGACATGTGCTGAAACGTTAATTGATTCATTGCAAAATAAGTGCTCTATTATATTTCAAAATTCAACTTTCCCTCTTTCGAAGAAAAATATGAATCTCAATGCTCTGGGAACTTCCTTTTCTTCAGATCAACTTATTTGTTCCGAACAAGTGAAAAATGGCGAGGAACTAACTGTATTCGGGTGTTTTTTTTATTTTTTTTTCTGTTTTCCACGCAAAATCAGCTGTTACAAATAATCATCGAAGAGAGTTGAGTGATATATCATTTTAAAGCCCGGACAGTAATGATTACTTTCCCAGTGTCTAGAATAACCGGTTTATAATTTTTGGTGCTTCGTGCGAATAAAGCGAGCGAGCAGGCTTACAATAGCTTACTTTTATGGCTTACAAGCTTGCAATAGCTTAATTAAGAACTCAAAATCCTTGTTTTACTCAAGCAACTTGAGTTTTCTGATGAGTAGCCTTTTTGGATAGCGCCTTTTTGGAATCAAAAACTTCGAAAATGCAAAAAAAAGCATTTTTTTCCGTTTTTTTTGGTAAGTTTTCTTGAAAAATTGTTTTTCAATTCGCTCATTATACTATGACTGTCGAATATACCCAATCTGTAGTTTTTTTGTTCAGATCATTTTTTCACACCACGCCAAAATAAACGACACTAATTTGAAAAAAAAACTTTTTTGTTGTATTTATTTAATTTAAGGTCGGAACATTCTGTGCGACTTGCACAGTAACCGGCTATCCTTGTTTTGCATTTGACATCATTTGATGGAAGTTTTGATACAATATGTTAAGTATCGATGCCCTGAGCTCGAAAATGAAAGCAAATCACCTGTAATCTCTTTCGTGAAGCTATGAGGGATCGTAATTTTTACTCAAACTTTGGACCGTCAAAATGCCAAAAACATACAACTAGATTTTCCAAATTAAACAGAATTTTTTGTACAATCCTTATTTTCATGTTAGATTCTTGTTTAACTTTCGAAGAAAATAAAAATTTTTAAAAAAAATCTCAGATCTCGGGGACAAACAATTTTTTAAGCAGTCATAATTAGACACCGGATTTGCAACACATGTGAGTACCCTGGGAGCACCAGACCATAGTGTTGAGAACTAATTTTTTTAGTTATCTAGTAAAAAAAATTTGCAATGATTTGAAAAAAATCTAGAAAATCGTCATTTCTCGGTAAAAAAAAAGATTTTGAGTAGTCAAAATTAGAGGCCATATTTTCCACCTGCATGTGTAAACTGAGAGAACCCCAAATTACAGTTAAGAAACTATTTTAAAATATTTTTGAAAAACCTTTAAAAAAATCTTGTTTTTGTTTCAATGATTTTGTTTTTGAATCTTATGAACAATTTTGAAAATCGATAGATCGAAAGACAGATAAATAAATAGATAGACAGATAAGTAGATAAATCATTAGATGAATTTAATAAAAAAACTTCATCTCAGACACTGAAATAGTTCTAGCAAAAACTTTTGTAAGCCATATCTGAAACCCTTGTAAGTAGCCTGACATCATCTCACAAGAAGTGAGATTTTCAATTTTTAAGAACTTATTTTTTAAATCTGTTTTTTTTTCAATTAAAATTTGAAAAAATCATCGAACAGTCACATCTCGAAAAAAAAGGATTGGAGCAGACAGATTTTGAGGTCAGATTTGAAGCTCCTTGGAAGAAAGCTGACAGAACTCCAATATAAGACCAATTATTTTTAAATTTTTGAATTATTATCTCATTAAACTTGCAAAAACAAAAACCGTTGCAAAAACAAAAACCGCAAATGCCTCATGTTTTGCGCAAGAAAGTTACGAGGTATTCGCTCTCCAACTGCTGATGTTGTGATAACAGCAGATTACCCCGAGAATTGGTATTTCATAAATCGTTAGACTTTAAACCGTTGATTTCAGATATTGGTAGCATAACATGTCAACGAAGGGACTGCTTAAACATGTGTCAAATAATATATATATATGGTATATGGATAGATAGACAAACAGACAGGCAGGCAGACAGACAGAGACATAGATAGATGGATAGAAAGACAGATAAATAAATAGATAAATCAATAGATGGATGCAAAATGGATAGATATAGCAATTTTTCCAACTTTTCGCAAAACGCAAAACAACTGCGGCAATTTAATCCAATCCATAAATCATTTCAAATTCTTGGGCACGCGTTTGAATAGTTACTAGACTCAACATGTATCACTTCATACTTGAAATTGTATCTGACGATTTCGCAAAAAAAAACATAGGACACTTTAAGGTGGATACAGTCTCAAAATTCAGTTCTTGGCCCTGCTATGAACAGTCCAAAAAAGCAAAAAAACGATGCTGTTTTTTTAGTCTTTTTTAATCAGTTAACCATAGGACGAATCTAGGAAAAATCTCAAAGCTGAACTTTCAATTTGGTCGGCATTAAAATCAGCTTGAACAAATTGATTTTCCTAGCACTCTGCGCCGCACACGAACCGAAAAAAAACGGGCATAAAAAATATTTCTGAAGAAAAAATCACTGTTTTAGGGCGATTCACCCTAGATGGTTTTTGGCTGATCGGCCGAAAATAACTTCCGTTATTATTTTTTTTTCAAATGTAAAGGCTCAAAATTCTGAGAACATGTCCGCATCTCACATACGTTCACGTTACATCCCTCAACCCACCCCGCTTCATTTCTTTAAGCATCTAGGAAAACAGATTGATTGAGAATATTTCCTCTACTTGAATAAACTCCGGTATAACTCATTTTCAAAAGTACTTTAAAAAATATTCAATACATTATCTGATTCAAATTGCAGTTGGTTTTGGGTGAATAGTTATTTTTACACTTTCACTAATCGCGACCAACTTCTCGGGACAATTCAAACTCAAAGTATGGTCAAACAAGTTAGGAACCGCTAAGTACACTCCGATCAGCACATCGGCAGGTTCTGTCCAGGACGAGTGCGAAATGAAACAAGTTGTGTTAAGTTTAATTCCATTTGGTTCATTTTCCTTTGAGGAGTCTTCGTTTTCTAGTTTTCGGAATTTATCGGCGCTGGGCGACACCACTTGGTCAGTGCCTCCAGGGTACGTCAACACTATTCTGACTCTGTTCACGTCGTCAATTTGAAGCAGAGTCACGTCTAAAAACAAAAAATATTTCAAACTCACCAGTCTTACATCCAAGGATCTATTCAATTCAAGTCAATTCAATTCATTTTAAATGAACTCAACTCAAAAAATTTATCTCTGAAATCAATAAAAAACAGTTCCAATTCTAGGTTGTTATTCTGACCTCATGTTGTAACATGATTTTTTTTACCTCAATTAATTTGGCCTTAAAAATCATAAGTCTACCAAAAATACCTTTCAAACATTGCGGGAAAAACTTTAGTGGCCTAAGGCTTAGTAATCTGGAAGCAGATAGGAAAAAACTAATCGTATCACTTACCCAATCTTAATGCTAACAACAATCCGGCCATAAAAGTCTCCACTCTGTCTGAACTTTGCGGGTAGTTTATCACCGCCGTCGACATAAAAACACCCGATTTAAACTCTGCATTACTCAAGACAATAGTTCTAACAGCCATGTTCACGGTCTCTATCAACAGAGGGTGCAAAAATTTGGAAATCAGAGTCAGTTTTGTCGGTTCAATTTCAAGCAAAGGCTTCAAAGAATCACGGCAAAATTGAGAGACTGGAAGCCTTGAATTGTCGATTCTCGTCATGTAGTTCTTTAGATTCGCAACAAAATTTTTACACATTGCCACTTTATCGCTCGTTTCGTCTTTGCAATCTTTGAGAAGAGTAAAAAACACAATTAATGTTGCTGCTATACTTCTATTTTCTAGGATACTTGAAAGTGTTTCAGGCGCGGGTCCGCTGAAAACACCTTCTAGGAAGAAACTTAAACTGATGCATTTTTTCAAGTCTGCGAAAACTGACTCGTCAGATAGAGTTAGCTGACTAGTCGGAGTTTGTTGTTTCAATTTGACGAATACTTTCATCATGCAGATTGTAATTTTCAATGACGCACATAGAAAATTCGCAGGACCTGAGATTTTTTCGCAATTTTTCAAGTGCTCCAGATCTCTCAGTAAATTTTTCAAAAACTCTACCGATAATTTCTGGCTTGAACATTTCAGTTTATAAATAACATTTTCGTACTGATTGGTAGCCATAACAGAAACATCCTGAAACTTAATCGCACTTTCTGGCCTTTTATAGCAGAAACGCAGTGAATTTTTATTCAAGTCCAGCTCTGGGATAAACTCTGGGTGCAATTCTTTCAGAAACTGGTGATGTTGGTTAATGAATGGCGGAAATAGTCCGATGATGTTGCTAGAAGACTGGGCTGCATTCAGCACTAGGATCATGATGGCAATGTAGAAAGAGTCTGTGAGGTTGGGTTCCGTGGTGTCAAGGAACGGGTGAGCACACAGGAGCTCTTTCACTGAAAAAACAAAAACATCTTTCTTTCTTTATTTCCTTCTAAATAAACAAAGCCTTTGGTAATTTACTAATATTTCCTTCTTTCTTCATTACAGCCCACCAGCAAATTATAGACCCCTAAATTCCAAAATCTCTGCTTTGAATGGCTAAAACAACTTTGTTATTAGTCTGTGGACTTTAGTGGAAAAGAGTTGAGCTAATTATACCATCCAGCCATTAGTCACAGAATTACCAAAGGCTGGATTGGTTCTACAACACTAGGTATTTCTAAATAATGTATACACTATCAAATACTATGCTAGCTTCAAAAAGGAATGAACCTTGTATTATATTTAAAAAATTATTAATGAAACATAAGCGAAGCGGAACTTCAAATCATTTGCTATTCAATGCAAGCTTAGCATTGTAAGCTCGCGAATAGAAAATGAGATGAAAAACAGATTCGATTTTTTTTTGGAAAACAGTTCAAAGTGAATTTAATTTAAAAAACAGTCGACGTTTTTTTAGTATCTTCAGCGCTGCCGCTAAGCCGACAACAAGTAGGTAGATGCCCATTGAGCCGAAAACAAAAAAAATGCCACAAGAAATTGTGATATAAAAAAAATTGAGCAATGAAGTTTCAAAACTTTGAAACCTTGCAACACACATTTCAAAAAAAATTGATCGTTTTTGTCTTTGAAGCAACACAAAATCAATTAGCAAAGCTAATCAAGAATACATCGAAACCATTTAGGCCGAAGAAATCATTTAAAGGAAAAAACAGGAAAACCAGAGAAAATATACAACGTCAGTTGAACATTTTCTCTGGTTGAAATATACAACGTCAGTTATCCGCCCGGATAAGTCTCAGAACAAATCCCACCAGGAGACACATCAAACATAGGAATAGTTTAAAATGAGTGTAGCAATGAAGGTAAAAGAAGGTATAGCGTTTAAAGCTGAAATAGAAACTGAGCTGAAAGAAGTTTTCACTTGGTATTTGACGAAAAGTCTAGCGGTGTAATTGAAAAAGATTTCAATGTGATACACGTCTTCCTAAAACAAGACAATACCCACTGGTTGACAACGCAGATCCCTTCACTGTTCCTTTTTAAATGCCAACTCTATTAGACGTAAAACTACTGATATTGCAGCCATCAGAAGTTTTTTAGATTTAGACTCCTTTTTTATCATGGAATCATGGCTTTCCTCAAATTCGGATAAAAATTACCTAGTTAAGCCACTGTTTCTCTGGATCTGTAATTTATTGATTCATAAATTGTCCAAGCAACTAAAGCTCAGATCGAGGACTCATTTGCATAAACAAGTAGAATGAAGGTCTCCCTTGAAAATCATATATGCAAAGAAAGCTTTAAATCCTGCTGCCTGAGTTTTGGGAGGTTAGCAACCACTATAATTTGGCTAATGTATAGACCTCTCTTAGCCAATAACACTAACTTTGAAAAACTGTAAATTTCAAAGAGCAACTTGCAACCTGACCTCATTCTGAATGGTGACAAGTTACCAAAACCTTACCAAAAAGTGTCAAACTCCTAAACAACTTTTCTGAGCTTAGTTTATCATTGCTTTAAAATGCACCGGCTCACCAGTCCGGCAATGTATTAGACTTAATTATTACTAATAATCAAAAGCTAGCAGAAAACATTGATACAACATGTTGTTTTCTCTGACCACAAGCAACTCAAGTTTGATTCAAATTCATCCAACAACCCTCACAGGTTGAAAAATCCAACGAACCTTTTTCACTTGTATCATAGCAACATCAATAAGTGGCTGAACTTTCAGAAGAATTTGCTCACTGAACAAATTCCAAAAAACAACAATAAGACCGAATATCCGAAGTCTTTTAGTGATCCTGATGATTTATTAGTTCAAGCTTTTGATAACTTTTTCAGTGATAAAATTAACAACTAAGACGATCAATTTCAACAGAAATTGAAAATCTGGAACTCAGATGCCCGGTAGAATCAACAGAGCTCAGCAAATTCAAAGAGATAAAAATTAGTCAACTTGAAGTAACCATTAACGTTTTGTCAGAAAAAGCTTGACCACTGGATCTTCTCCTCATTAAAGTATTCAAAAACATGCCAGAAGTTAGGAAGATTATCTTCTTTTAGCCCTGAAATGACGCTTGACACAGAATTGATGAAAAATCAGAGAATTATAGCTAATATAGGATTCAGTAGTAAAGTCTTGGAAAAAATTGCAGTCGAGCAATTGAAAGATTATCTAAGAAAAAAAACGATTTGATGAACGAAAGTCGATATGCCCACCGAACCTTTCATTCGACTGAATTGTTTCTTTTGTAAATTTTTATTGAAGTTTTCAACGAGCTGGAAGCGAACAAAATTGATATTGTTCTAGTGTCGAAATCTCTGCTGTTTCGCAACAAGGATTTCAAAATAACAAGCGAAATATTAAGTAAACTATTTGGAATCACAGGAAACTGCAAATGCTGGCTGATGTCATGTTAGAAGAACTGCACGCAGCAAGCAAGCTGCCTTAATACATAATCTCGGTAGACAAATGTTTCTCTTGGTGTCCTTCAAGTTTCATTTCTAGGTCGCACGATATTCACGATGTACATTAGGGCAATCAGAGATGTTCCTAAGTAATCTCAAAATTCTTCTCAGGTTAACGCGAATGACACACTGATGTTTTTGTCTCTTGAAAATAATACCAAACCAGATACTTAAAAGGAAATGATAAAACGAACACTTGACGTTTTCTCAAAGGCATTTAGTCAATTGACGATGAAAATCAACCCAGCTACTACCGAAATTCGTATAATTAAACTCCAACGACTTAGCTAAATGTTGCACTCAAAATTAAGACCACCCGAATATTAAGCCAATGTTATGTTGATGTCGCTAGAGAGTTAGATAATCCAATAACTGACCATAACAGTAACCAGTACAGGCACCATACTTAGAAAGATGAGCAACATTCAACCCCTTCTGATATCCGAGTACTGGCCCTCGACTTAAGAAAAGCTATTTTTAACTCACGAGTACTGAACCATGGGGATAAAGGAGAAACAGATGATGCCGAAATTGGAGATGCTCTGAACTTTTTAATTTTTGACTTCAACTTGACCCGCTTGAAGGTTGCATATTAAATAAGTCTGTATTTTAATTCGACCCAGTTGAGGGTCGCATACTGAAAAAAAAGTGACCAAGACCATTATCGGTCTCTTGGCCCGGTTTGAGTACTGCACCGTGAAAAGATTCTATGGATTGTGTATTATTATTATTATTATTATTATTCAAATTCATCCAACAACCCTCACAGGTTGAAGAATCCAACGAACCTTTTTCACTTGTATCATAGCAACATCAATAAGTGGCTGAACTTTCAGAAGAATTTGCTCACTGAACAAATTCCAAAAAACAACAATAAGACCGAATATCCGAAGTCTTTTAGTGATCCTGATGATTTATTAGTTCAAGCTTTTGTTAACTTTTTCAGTGATAAAATTAACAACTAAGACGATCAATTTCAACAGAAATTGAAAATCTGGAACTCAGATGCCCGGTAGAATCAACAGAGCTCAGCAAATTCAAAGAGATAAAAATTAGTCAACTTGAAGTAACCATTAACGTTTTGTCAGAAAAAGCTTGACCACTGGATCTTCTCCTCATTAAAGTATTCAAAAACATGCCAGAAGTTAGGAAGATTATCTTCTTTTAGCCCTGAAATGACGCTTGACACAGAATTGATGAAAAATCAGAGAATTATAGCTAATATAGGATTCAGTAGTAAAGTCTTGGAAAAAATTGCAGTCGAGCAATTGAAAGATTATCTAAGAAAAAAAACGATTTGATGAACGAAAGTCGATATGCCCACCGAACCTTTCATTCGACTGAATTGTTTCTTTTGTAAATTTTTATTGAAGTTTTCAACGAGCTGGAAGCGAACAAAATTGATATTGTTCTAGTGTCGAAATCTCTGCTGTTTCGCAACAAGGATTTCAAAATAACAAGCGAAATATTAAGTAAACTATTTGGAATCACAGGAAACTGCAAATGCTGGCTGATGTCATGTTAGAAGAACTGCACGCAGCAAGCAAGCTGCCTTAATACATAATCTCGGTAGACAAATGTTTCTCTTGGAGTCCTTCAAGTTTCATTTCTAGGTCGCACGATATTCACGATGTACATTAGGGCAATCAGAGATGTTCCTAAGTAATCTCAAAATTCTTCTCAGGTTAACGCGAATGACACACTGATGTTTTTGTCTCTTGAAAATAATACCAAACCAGATACTTAAAAGGAAATGATAAAACGAACACTTGACGTTTTCTCAAAGGCATTTAGTCAATTGACGATGAAAATCAACCCAGCTACTACCGAAATTCGTATAATGAAACTCCAACGACTTAGCTAAATGTTGCACTCAAAATTAAGACCACCCGAATATTAAGCCAATGTTATGTTGATGTCGCTAGAGAGTTAGATAATCCAATAAATGACCATAACAGTAACCAGTACAGGCACCATACTTAGAAAGATGAGCAACATTCAACCCCTTCTGATATCCGAGTACTGGCCCTCGACTTAAGAAAAGCTATTTTTAACTCACGAGTACTGAACCATGGGGATAAAGGAGAAACAGATGATGCCGAAATTGGAGATGCTCTGAACTTTTTAATTTTTGACTTCAACTTGACCCGCTTGAAGGTTGCATATTAAATAAGTCTGTATTTTAATTCGACCCAGTTGAGGGTCGCATACTGAAAAAAAAGTGACCAAGACCATTATCGGTCTCTTGGCCCGGTTTGAGTACTGCACCGTGAAAAGATTCTATGGATTGTGTATTAATAGCAGATATTGAAAATTAGAAGGATAAATAGCTGAATTAACAACTTTGATTCATACAATAGGTGGATAAACCAGACGATCATGATCACGAATAATCTTCAATTCTTTTTTTTTTTCATTTCCATAGATACTGAAAAACAAGGTTCGGCCGAGACTAAAACTTCAAAATTTAGGGTACAAAGACCAACTCTTTATCTCCACGCCAAGTGGGAAGGAGTTTCGAAATTGTGAAAGTTCACTAACATCAATTTCACAACTTCTTACAGATTAAGAAAAGCCGTTTTCGGGAAAAAAAAGTCTAGTTCCCGATTACAAGACACTTTCTCTCGCAAGCGTGAAAAATTCATTATCAGGCTGCTTGTACGAATAATTCGATAAATATTTCTGACACAGAGGCGAAGCGGACAACACAAAAATGAAAAGTTCCAGTCAGAAAAAAAAACGAAAAAAAAGCTATAAAAAAACTAGGTGCACCAAAATTTAAATTTTCTTCAAGTCTCGATAGAAGTTCTTTTTAAGCAGAGATGCCAGACATTTGAATTTTAAATTAGCAACAAAAGAAAACAAAGCCGACGATCTTTGAGTCCCCCTGAAACTACATTAAACAACACTTACACAAGTAACTTCAGTGGAAGTTGCTTACGGAACAAAACAACGCCATGATAAGACAACTAATCCGACCATCTTTGAGCACAAACAAGTTGAGCCAAAAAGTTATGAAAAAAAAATAACTTTCAAATCCTCCATGAAAATACAACGAAAAACACTTGAAATTGCAACTATAAGGAAAGTTGCCTACAACACAAGCTAATTTCTGCTTTGCCAATTGAGCCGAAAAAACTTGAGCAGAAACACGAAAGTCCGGCAATTCAAATTTTACCCGAAAAAAATTTGGAAAGGAAATTGTCAAAAAAAACTTTGGACGATAAAGGGTTTAAATTTTCAAACTTTTATCCTTCAACCGACGTGATTTATTCAAATTTAAAATAATCAATTTTTGCCGTTAGTTCGATGCAAAATAGTTTCACTAAACTGACTAAACATAAGCCGAAACCATTTCGGACAAACTAAATAGAAACAAACGAAACATATATCAGTCACAGTTAGCGAAATTAAACTACATAACATAATCGATGACACTCGAAAATGAAATTAAAACGGCCTAAAACGCAAAAAAAAAATTCGCTGTATGGCAACTAAGGCGATAAATCATAAGTCGACAAACAAAGGTCAGAATATTCAATTTTTCACGAAAAAAAAAACTCGAACCTCATACCATAGAATGCAAGGGCAATTGCATTAGCTTCAAACTAATTGAGAAGAGGCCTGGAAGTTGATAAGGCTCGATATAAAGCGACATCAGTTTCGTACAAATGTGTAAGAAAAGTTGTTTTACGGAAAAAGTCTGATATTTTACATTAGGTATACGTACTGTAGGGAATGACGAAGTTTGAATGTTTCAATCCAAGGCACTTGAGAGCTCCAAATATGGACAACTTATCCAAAGGATATTTCTTCAAGTTCCTCATTAACCTCTGCAATGTTAACTTCAAACAGCCCATCTCCTCGAATTGAATTTTACGCAGTAAGCCATGAACTTTTTCTCTAACTGCGTCTGAATAATCGTCCAAGCAACTCAAAGTATCGACAACTTGATCTTTCCGCAAGACCACATGATGTGAGATTGTTGCCAAGCTCTCTAACGCTTTTACTCGAACTAATTCGATTTCATCGTTCAACATGTCAATGAAGAAGTCCAGGGCTTCTTTAGCGAACACACTTCTGTTTGAGGCTAGATTACTAAGAGTCTCAACTGTCGCAATTCTGACCTCTTTAAACTCATCTTCGAGTCCGTGCACTAAGGCACCACAGGCCCCTGAACTTATAAGAGACAAGGAATCCTCGTCTACATTATCCAGGGGCGCATCATCACCCCATTTTCTACCCGAACTGTACGCGCCACTTCGTACTAACTCGGCATTTTTCTGATGAGAGCTTCGCTTCGTTCGAAGTTGCGACATGAGTTGTTTGTCCAATGTCTGCTGCAAATAATTCTGATCAACGTTTGCGAACTTTCTCAAAATTTGGACTGCAGTCACCCGAACTGTTACTTGAATGTCATTGACCAGCTCGCAGATCCTCGAGAAAGCATGCTCCTCTAGACGCACGAAATCATCTCCTCTATCTCCCAATGGTATTTTGACATTGGGTGACTTGCTCGCGTAACTTGCCGCTATTTTGATAGCTCCGATACGAACTTTTTCGTTTTCGTCTGAGAACAGTTCCAAGCATCGGTGGTACACTGAGAGTGCAACTTTACCTCCTCTGGAATCGTAACTACAGATCATATCAACCACTGCTCTTCGGATTCTACTGTCATGGCTCCTCGATAGTTCTTCGAAAACTTTCAATAACTGGTCACTGTCACTCGAGATGTCCGAAATATCACCCAAAATTTCCAGACACGAAATTTGGGCGACTCGACTAAAACTCGAGAACAAAAGTTGGGTGCATATCTTCACGAGTCTACTTTTGACCAGCAAACTATCTTTTGAAATAACCCAAAGCGTTTTAAGCAGAATATTGAGAACGGATTCTGGCGTGGTGGTTTGCTGTGCTAGCTCAAATAGTGAGAAAATGAGTTTGTTTGGGATTTTCATGCTAATGGCGACGTTTAAAAGGTAGTTGCCAGCAGCCATCCGAGTTTCCAGCGGTTTATCTGGTTGCAGCTGTGCAATGATCTTCCGGAGAGTCTTGACCAGAAAATCATGATCCAAGTTTCGAAGCTGGTCCTGAGGTATTCCGTGTGATAAATTCAGGGTACCTAAACGCGCAAAAATTTTAATGGAGCACCTAAATTTTAATAGAATGCATGACAAAGTGAAGTCTGATTCCGATCAAAACAGAAATCAAATGTACTGTTTCAAGCCGTATTTTGAACCTGTGCTCTAGTTTCGAAATGACTTAAAAGATGTTTCAAAAATGAGTTTAAAAATCTTTCCTAGCTCTTAAATCTATTACTCCAATTTTAACTAGAAAAATATTACCTTCAGTCAGTCGCGATCTTCTGAAATTTTTCACATAAGTTGTACTTAGACCTAAGTGTTTTTACGAACTCATCGGTATCCTTTGTTGAAGCTTGACTTGAAAATTGCAAAAGAAACAGTTTTAGAAAATCTTACACTAATCCTACATATAATTCAAAAACGATCTATTTTCTACTATATCAGTGTTTCGTACATTGAATCATGTTTTTCAAGAAAACAAACGTTCTCCAAAAGCTATTTTGAAATTTCAAAAAACGATGTTATTGTTCTGACTATTGAAAACGGGGAGGAACTTGTATTATAATGTTTTTTAGTTTCATTTCTTTTTTGCTTTCCACACAAAAGCAGGTACCAGACATAATCATCGACATGTGTCGAGTGATATAGAAAAATCTTTTCAATTTTATTTTTAAAGAATGCTTTTGGAACTTTCTGTGGTACTTGCACAGCTACCGGCTATCCTTGTTTAGCTTTGTGGGTGATAAACAATATTTTTTAAAAAAATAAAATTAAATACTGAGATCGTAAACGCAGTATCAAATTCATTAAGCACCTTCGAAACTTTGCAAGACAGGAACTTGCATTTTGCCATATTAGCTTATACTATATCATTAAACTTTTGACATTTAAAATTTTCCCAGAGTATTATCACTTTTCTTTACACAGAGGCGAAGGATGAGCTTCGCACCACTTGCGATACAAATATGAATGGCTATGAAAAAAAAAATCGTTTATAAAAATTGCAAAAAGCCCAGAAGATCCAGAACAAAATTGCCTGCACCATTAAAAACTCTACAAAGGGCTGTGTGAATGATATACAGTAGCCAGATTGCCAAAATAGTCCTTTCTGTGGAACCAAGCAGTCAAAAATAAGCAGACAGACAATCTAAATTAGACAAAATTTTCTATTTGCAAGAAAAACAGGTCTCAACAGGAGTCAAACTCCTGGGCTTTGTCGTCTCAAGCGTGGGGTTTACAGCAACTTGGAATAAAGCTCAACCATCGAGCTACGGGAACTAAGACGACAGACAAAAACAAAACAGACGGACGATAGTCCGAAAAAGTACAAAAAATCAAGTTTGCAAAAAAAGGGCCCGGCCGGATTCGAACCGCAAACCTTTGCCCTCTCAAGCAGTTGTTTTACCTCTATGCCAGATGAACCGAATGGTTGATTGGATTTGAATTCATAATTACCAAGCGGTAACAAAGCCTAAAAAACCTGAGCAGAAACCCTTCATGCCGATAAGAAATTCAAAAAAAGTCCATTTTCCCCTCAGAGCAGATACACGCGCACAAAACGTTTCCGGATGTAACAACGCAATAAGAGGCCACTAAATCGATATTAATTGCCTTGAATTTTTTAAACCGATACGAAAGATTTTTTCAAAATTTTTAATAAAAAAATTAAATTTAAAGAAATCGGGCTGGTAAAATAACAACCAATTTTAAAAAAACTTCTGCCGGGCTGTAAAAAATACTTAAAACAACTGCAGTGGAAATTGTTTACAGCTAAAATAAACGATTCTCAAATGTGGCAACTAAGCCGACAAAACATAAGCAGGCAAATAATAGACCGAGATTTTTTGAACCGGAACATTACCGTTTGAAAAAATAACCGATCCTGGTCAGATTCGAACCCATGAAACTTTCCGTCTTAGGCGTATTCGTTACCACCAGGCTAAAGGTGCAAGAGGCACTACTAAATTTTAATTCATTATGAACCAACGTACCACCAGGAATCAAATGAGTCCTCTGGACAGTTGTTTACGGGAAAAAGTCTAGTACCCGGTTGCAATACCCTCGCTATCGCAAGGGTAATAATTAGCATTCAAAAGAATTAATTATCAGTCAAAATCATAACTTTCAAAACTTCAAAAATTGGACATTAGCAAAAATCATAGCGGTTTCCTATTAAAAATAAGAGATAACCCGTTTATGTAGGGAAGATTTCTCCTACCCGTTCTTTCAATTGACCTCAATGTCAGATTTGTCATCAAAGTATTCACAAAAAAGGAGAAATTGTCCGAAAAACAATAAAAATTTCACCAAGTGATTTTTTCTTAAGGCCATCCCCGACTACGACATAATTCTTGCAGAAAAAAGTTATGGTTTTCAAAAAATTTAAGGTTTTTATCCGTGAGCCGTTAATGTATTTTCTTTAAAAATAGGGCGCAGCCGCTTTTGCAGATAAGATTCACACACACGGGTTTCAAGATTGAACCCTTAACTTCAGTTTCAAACGTTCAGTTTCAAAAATTTGCCTTTACTGAAGGCCATAACAATCCTACAGACTAGCGGAATATGTAGGCATACAGAAGAGTAGACGGTCTTTCCATTGGTTTGTTTTTGTTAAAAATCAGCAGAGTAGTTTTTGATAAACTCCTAAATCTCTAAGAAAATAGCAAACATTTTTCTAAGCGTCTGAAAAAATAATTTTAAAAAAATTCGAATCAAATACGTTTTCATAATAGTTTATGTAATCTGAAAAAAAAAACAATAACAAATAAAAAATCCAAAACAAATACGTTTTTATAATAGCTCATTCAATTTCTTTTGAACCTTTCTCAGCCAAATTCTTTTCTCAAACAAAAAATAACTGTATCTCAAGCAATAAGTCCTACCTAAATTAAGAAAAAAATGGGCGAAAGGTAAACTTTTGCGTGCAACTTTATTGTTCGAACATTTGATGAAATAATGTCACAAATCAGGAGCAAACAATTTTATGCTTCTTTCTGATGTCATCAAGACCAGCTGATTTTTCTTTTAAACTGTTGTATAATTTAAGGTTGCAATTAGCAAGCGTTATGAAATTGGAACGAAGATGTTTTTTGTACACGACTTGCTAAACATAATAGCTAATAATTTCTGGCCAACATATAGTTAGTATATCTGGTCAAGATATATAGTCGGCTCTTTCCCATTAACCATTACAGCACCCGATAAACTTATAGCACCCAATAACCCCCTCAGTGTGATGTGACTGGCAAGGCAATAATGACAACATGTAAGTGGTCAGTGCTTGTGATATCATAAACTTCGATAGCTACAAATAATCATGTCTATCAAAAATACCTTCAAGCTCATTAACAACAGAGCACAACTAGATACAAGTTCATTAATCACTGCTTTTACTGTCTCGAAATCATATCGTTATTTTTAGTAGTGCTTATATATACGAAGTTTTATGTTAACTATGTTGCAATTTTTAAGCTCGGTAGCCTCAAAAAAAGAAAGCAAAGAATATTAAATATCCTTCATCAATTATCATCAAAATATCTACGAAGTTCGGATTGCACATAAAGATGAGGGGAATGTTTTTGCTAACTTACTTCTTTCCCCTTGTTCTTATTTAAAGATAAGCGATGATCATTAGCTTAAAAAATCACGTTTGTAAGAAAACTCACCAAAAAGCTCTTCTAGAAGAGGATCAGCAGCTGCGTGATTTGCGTCAGTGACTGCAGAAACGTGAGTTGAACTGGATCCCACTATTCTGAGTCGCTTGCTTGGTGGGGGCTCCAGGGACGTCCAGTCTTCCTGAGAAGACCCATGAGCACCCTGTGAAACAAGCACCTCCGAGGCAACAACCGTGGAAGATGAGGAAGAGCACTGCTGCATCTTTCAGCTTAGCATAGCTTAACAAATCTGAAAACCAAAAACTAGAACAAATCAGGCCTTATACAAATTTTGCAAAGAATCATCGTGGTTCCGGCCATTTTACTGAGTGAGAAAGAACAATCTGCTACGGTTGATTTTTAAAGCAATTTCACATTCTTCATAGCGTGAAATTGCAAGAAGCTAGCAAGAACTCGACTGCAAAATCATATCAAAGCATTTACAGTCTTGATTCGAATTTATTTGATGAAAATTAATCCTGGCGACTCTTAACACTTCTTTTCAGAATGGAAAAATTAGCAATATTAAATCAAATAAATAAATATATTTTTTGTAAATTTGTATCAATGATAACTGTGGTCAGAACATTCTGTGTTACTGCAAGAGCAATAAGTTACTCTCGTTTCAGATAAAGTTTGTTCAAAAAATATTCAATGTTTTAAAAGTATCGTTAACTGCACTCCAGGCTGCAAAAAAAACTCAGGCTAACCTTACTCCACACTGCGACATTTTTCAAACAATCTTTTCTCGAAAATGAATCATGACGTAAATGGGCTAACATGCTACAACAATTGATAACTTTAGCCTTAGCCTTCAATGAGACAACTCGAATCGCATACCATAACCCCCTAGGCTATACAAAATTGCTCCCTAGTTTGTGAAATGGTTATAAAAAAAGAGCAAGCGGCAGCAACTGAAGCTACTGTGTCGAATAAATAAGAAACACCTAATAGTAGCCGGTTGCTGTGCAAATATTATATAAAGATCCGACCACATTAATGACAAACTAGGAGCTCAGCTGAAGCTACCTGATTGATAATTTTTGAATTGATTGCCATAATGCGGGATGAAAAGGGCAATTTCACAAAATTGGGTTTCACCCAAAACCTAAGTTGTTTCTCTAATAAAAAAATAAGAGTGAATATTTGTGAGAATTTCGAATGTTCCCAAGGTTATAGTTATTTTCTTATAAACTTTTAAGGCGATGCCGCATTTTAATTAAGGCTTCCTACAACCGGTTGCCTCGATTAAACCTTTGATATCAGATTCGGCTGGGTAATTTTCAATTAACAAAAGTTCCAAAAAAAAACGGACAACAGATCAAAACAATGACTTTTTAGAAAGCCATACTTTTTTTTAGAAAACTTGGACGTAGCTCCTTATATAAGGGAGCTCTTCTCAGCCTATTTTGATTGAACCCATAATCTTACATTTGGGAGTGTAGCTTTCAAAAACAATCAAAAAACGGTCACAAATCAAATATTTGACTTTACCGAGGGCCATAACGTTTTATGTTAAAAAACATTGCACGTAGCCGCATATGCAAAGGAATTTCATAACACATTCTCTCCATTAAAACCATTATCTCAGATTTAGGAGAGTAGTTTTTGTTAAAAATCAAAATTTAAAAAAAAACGGTCAAAAATCAAAATTTTGTCTTTTATGGGCGAGAAATTTGGGCGTATCCACTTATGTAAGGTAGCTTCCCACAACCCGTTCTATCCATTAAACCCTAATCTCAGATTTGGTAAAGTGGTTTTTGAGAAAAGTGAAAAAATTTCAAGAACGGTCCAAAAAATCAAAACATGACCTTTCCGAGGACAATAGTTGAAGTTTTTACCCGAAAATTTGGACGTATCCGCTATACAGGAGAACTTGTCATCACTCTTTCTCTCCATTGAACCCAAGATCTCAGGTTTTGAAAAGCAATTTCGGATAAAAGTCAAAAGCTTTGGAAAAAACGGTCAAAAATTTCTTAGGGAAAATATTTGGGCAAAAACGCTGATGCGGGGGAGCTTCTTACAGCCCATTCTATAAATTGAACCCAAAACGTCAGATTTGAGAGAGAAGTTTGTTAGAAAAAAATTAGTCAAACATTCCCTCCCTCCCCCTCTTCCCCCTCTTCCCCCTCCCTCCCCCTCCCCCTCTTCCCCCTAATGCTTGAGAAAAAAATCCAACGCGTCTCAAAAAATAATAGAAAAAAAACTAAATCCCATGCATTTTGATTATACGTGTTTTTATCAAACAGGAAACATATACTCTCAAATGTGGGTCATTTTTGCGCGGTGTAATGAGAGGAACGAGACAAAAGCTTAGAACCTAAGTTAAATAGGCATAATCTACTAAAGTTGCATTCGAAAATAAGAATAGCAAAACAATTTCTATGAAGTTTTTGGCTAAAATTTATCGAATTTTTCTTGCCAAAAAAGCGCTAAGGGAAGCTTCGAAAACTAGTTTATTGCAAAAGATAAAAGAACAATAAATTGAAATAAAAGATTTTTCTTTAATACCCTCTCCTCGATCGCGTTACTCGCTCGAAAAGACTATTCAGCCAAGTTTTCTCGGCACTGAGAAAAATTGTTCGAAATGCTTTTATATCTTTCGAATCATTACTAAAAGCGCTTTTTATATGATCTATCGCTCAGCCCAGTCTGATTATTTTTTTGTAGAATCCAGTTTTTAATGGGGAAGAAGTAAAAACAAAAACAAGCGAAAACAAAGTTCCTCCGAACTTTCAGTGGTCGGAACAATCCCTGCATCGAAGTAAAGACCAATACGTTTGGTGTCCAGCAATGCCCAAAATCTAGTCGCGGGGAGAAACCTAGTTACTGACCATTCAGAAAACAAGGTAATTTAAAGAAAAAAGTCTAGTACCCGGTTGCAATTACCCTTGCTGACAATAAGGGTAAAAGTAAGAAGTATTCGAACTTTTCATTAACAAAAGTTATTTAAAATATCGACACGCATGCGCACGGTTTGGTTTCCAAATTAAAAGAAATTTAAAATTCCAGCCTCGGTCGGTACTCTCACAACTGTTAAGAGGCAAAAAAATCTTATCTCAGTAAAAGGAGCACTTGGAGAAAAAACAACACAAACAACACCGATTGAACAACATCGATTGAACTGACGCCGAAAACACGGTAAAAAAGAACATACAAAAACTGTATACATCCGCAAAACTACGGCTGAGAATAGAACTATCGACCTCGACCTACGTCGCACAATTCTGAGACGCTATTTCTAGGCCATCTGTTCCCTGTCAATTACTGTGATTAGGTGCAAAATCGACGGACAAATTTTTTTAAAAAAAATTCCAAAGATTTGGGTCTTCGTTCAAAAAATTTACATTAATTCTGCAAAAAAAACTTGAGCTTTTAGACTAGGAAAATTGTAATACCAGATTGTAATCTTCTTGCCAATCGCAAGGGTAACAAAAATAACCCGCCGCTGTGCAAGCAGCACAGAATGATCCGACCACCGCTGATTTCAGTGGAACTGCAGTCGAAAAATCCGCAAATTAAAGCTCATTTTGAAAGCATTCTAACTATTTAGTGTAAACCTGGAAAAAATCGTAGAAATGAAGAAACTCAACACCGAGAAAACTTTTTAAATTATCCTCTTGGAAACCGACGAACACCGACTGAAAGGTTTTCAATGTGATACCACACTTGAAATGACCCCCTACGACTATAAAGTGGTCGGAACAATGAATACATCACAGATAATAATTAATTATCACAAGAGGCCGATGCACCAAACATTTGTCAGTTTAGCACTGGTTCTAAACTCTACAAAATTCTAAGATAACATTCATTTGCAATTTTTACACGAACTCATTTTCATTTCATAAATAAATAGTAACAATGAGCATCCAGATACTTCAGCGGAAATCAAGTCCATCATTGACCGTGATAAAAAAAATCATCATAGTTAGAACTTAAAGCTAGCTTCTGCTTCTTTCTTCAATTGATTTATAACAGCTGCCGGATCTTCGTTCTGTGTAATCGCACTTCCACACACAATCAAATTGGCTCCGGCGTGATAACACTGTTCCACATTTGTAGGTGAAACGCCACCATCAACTTCAAGGTCAAGTTTTGGGAACTTTGATCTCAAATGAGACACTTTCGTCATCATGTCGGACATGAACTTTTGACCTCCAAATCCCGGTTCGACAGTCATCACTAGCACTACGTCTACAAGGTCAGCATACTCTTCTACTAGAGATACTGGAGTTTTGGGTTTAACTGCTATTCCAACCTTCATTCCAGCTTCTTTGACAATTCGAATGCAGTGATTTGGGTCTTTGCTTGCCTCGTAGTGAAAAACATACTGGTCTGCTCCAGCATTGGCCATATCTTGGACCCATTTTTCAGGTTCCGCTACCATCATGTGCATATCAAATAGAACATTTTCCCCGACATTTTTTCTAAGACTCTTTACAACCGGAGCTCCGAAGGTCAAATTTGGGACAAAATGTCCATCCATTACATCTAAGTGTAGGTAATCGGCACCATTTTTTACTAGATTATTACACTCATCGGCAAGACAGGAGAGGTCCGAGTTCAGAATCGAGGGGCCAATTTGCACTTTCAGAGTTGAGTCATTCAGCATTTTATAATTTCACTTAACATACATTCGCTCTTAAAAATCAGTTTCACTAATTTCTTCGTAAAAAACAAGCTACTTCTCGAACTGGATTTTTTCCAGGAAATTACACGAGTCAAATAAATACAAAATTAGATAGAACGGACAGTTTTCACAGCATTTTCAGACTTTAAATTGATTATTGAAGACTCAAAGTTTCATCCATTTTTTCCAAGTCCACATAAAAGCTCTCAGAAAGTCGTTTTGGAATAACAAAGCCACTCGTATCAATTCAAACTTTCAGCTACAGCCTTCAACTAAGTTCACAAAAAACTTCCATTGCGAATTAACGATTGAAGAAACTATCTGACAGAGTAAAAATGAGGCGCTACTTGCAATAACCAATCTGACTTTACTATCGAGCATTCTCTTAGGTAAATTTTTGTAGAATGAACCGTCTCTGTAAATAACACATAAGTTCCACTGTTAAACGGGACAGTATAAAGCACAGAATCTGGATGTATGAATAAATCAGGAGAGCTTACGGGGTCTCGGATACTTCTGAAACATCCTCTTGAAGTGTAGATCGCAACATTGGCAAAGAACCCGGCGCAGAGGCATCTGAGAACCTTGTCGTCGTCGAAACCTTTTGCAGATGTCAGCTCGATTCCAAACCTTCTTGCGTATTTTAAAAGCTGCTCTTTAATATGATAAGCTCTATTTAAAGACGCATAGCTAGCGTAGTATTTATCGCACCATGATTTACTTCTGCGGTTGTTAACATAAGATGTGAAAACATTCAATTTCGTCATATGGTCACCTTCAGTAGCATAAAACTCACGTTGAACTCTTGCGGCTTTCATTTTTTCTTTTCCACTCGATGGAACGTGGAAAACATTTTTTATCTGCATCAACGCACATAAGGTCAAAATTTCATCTGAGCAGTCGAACTCATTAGCCGTCAAAAGACATTTAGCAAACATTGGATTCAAGGGCATTTCGGCCATTTGGTTTCCAATTGGGTTTATTAACTCAACTTTTGCATCAATCGCACCCAGGGAGAAAAGAAGTTCAAGTGCTCTTGCAAAATTTTTTGACGGGGGTGGAGATAAAAAATCAAACTTAGCTACATTTGATACCCCAAGAGCTTTTAGTTGAAGAATGGGAAAAGCCATTGAGCTTCGCTGTAGCTCAGGAACAGATTGCGGCTTGAGTTTTTCAAACTCATCTTCGGAGTAAAGTCGATAGCACTTTCCTGACGTCACACGACCCGCTCTTCCAGCCCTCTGATTGGCTGAAGCTTGCGATACCGGTAACACGGTTAACGTTTCAGTATTAAAATCGGCATCATACACTGTTGTCTTAACGAACCCACAGTCTATGATATGTATAATATTATCTATCGTAATTGAGGTTTCCGCAATATTTGTCGAAAATATAACTTTCCGAGTTCCACTTGGAGCTCTTTGAAACACTTTTAATTGCTCTCTAGCAGGTAAATTTGAGTACATGGGAATAGCTTGTATTTTGTACTTGGAGATATTAGCCACATTTTTTAGTTTTTCTGACAGAAGTCTGCAACATTCCTCGACCTCATCTTGGCCAGTTAGGAAAGCCAGAACATCTCCGGGCGCATTCGATTTATGAATGATCAGAACTGTATCGACAGTGGCTTTCACGTAGTCGTCCACAGGGTGCTTGGAGTACATAATTTCCACCGGAAAACATCGACCCTCAATTTGAAGTATAGCTGCATTGTCGGTAGAAACATCGCCTCGTTTTTTAACATTGAAGAAATCTTTCATTTTCTGTGCGTCAATAGTCGCACTAGATACTATAACCCTCAAATCAGATCTCTTTTTCAGAACCTTTTTCAACAGTCCTGCTAACATATCAGTGTTTATACTTCTCTCATGCGCTTCATCTAGCATTATGACAGAAAACTTTTCCAACAAGGGGTCTCCCATCATTTCACGCAACAATAGACCATCAGTTAGAAACTTAATCTTCGTATTTGGACTTGTACAGTCGTCAAACCGTATAGCATAACCGACTTCGTCACCTAGCATACAGTTCCTCTCCTCTGCAACCCGAGCTGCCAGTGACACCGCCGCTACTCTCCGCGGCTGTGTTACTGCGATTTGCTTTCCGTGGTGTGCCCACCCTACTTCAACGAGATACTGCGGCACCTAAAAACTAAGAAGTCAATTAAGAGCATTCATTTGAGCAGCATATCGCAACCATGTAGCTTGATACGCTTTGTAAAAACAGACATGCTCATCAAACAAAACCCACGTAAAAAATTAACGGAACTGTCACGCAAGGTGTGCTCAAATTACGAGCAAGTATTTGGTTTGTTTTCACTTTGGAGGAAAAGTTATAGCCAGGGGCGGATTTAGGGGGTGACACTTTTTCTTCAGGCATTCGACCCCCTGCCGACCCAAGGGTTCCACCCTTTGAACTATTTTGAGATATCCATTTTTCGCTGACGGACCCTAAAATTTTTCTAAAGGCGCATTTGGCACCAATATATACTAATTTAAAGGAGGAGCGCGCGCCGAAAGAAGCGATTTTTAGGTTAAAATTTTCCAAAAAAGGCCTAAAAACGCCTATTTTTCAAAATTTTGAATGCGGCGCAGAAATTTTGGCCAAAACAGGAACTTTTTAGTGCTTTGGAGGAGCTCGGAAAATCAATTTGCTCGGCCTAAAAAAAAGGTCGTAAAAAAGTTACCTGAAGGAAAACTATTTATACAATTGCAAACCTCCTCAAAGGAAAACGTACGATTTAGACAACCGTTCAAATCCACACATCGCTTATCTTCTCTAGGGAAGCTCGAATACTATCGTTTTGATCCAGCAGCCACGTTTCAGTTGAAACAGGTATATCTAGTACACACATCGCAAAATGAGAGATAAACATTTTGCATACGGATCTAATATATAAAATGTGGAGGAACTTTCTATTCGGGTTTTTCAGTTTTTTATTTTCTGTTTTCCACGCAAAATCAGGTACAACTTTTAATTATGGGAAAGGACCGAGTGATTCATCAAGTCGTGATTCAAACGAAATAAAAAATTTATCAAAAAAAATGTCCCAATATCAAGAAAAATAGTATAAAATTTTAAGATTTTTAGTCTAAATTCGAGCGAATAATGCGAGCGAGCAGGCTTACAACCCGTGTTAGCAAAATAGTTTAAAATTCCACAAAAAAAAAACGTTTTAAAAATTGTTTTGAACATGTTTAAAACACCTTAACTTAAGCAATGTTTTTAGAATTCCACAAAAGACTCAAACGGTGAAAACAGACGTACGAAAAAATTCAAACATGAATTATGATTAAGTTTTTTCGTTAAGGACTCGTAGACAGAAATCTAGCTGCCGCATTTTCTCAGGCGCTAATATATTGCGCAAAACCCATCGAACTGTGCAACCAACTGCCTACAATAACATATTTTTGTTTAACTTAGGCCGTGGAAAATAAGTTTTACTAAAAAAGTTGATTGTGGAGTTTTTAGCGCCAGTTTGGTCCAGTTTGCCTTTTTACTATGAATATCGGCTATTCCTAAGTCCCAGTTTTTCTTTCAGATCCTTTTATATTCACCGCGCAGAAAAAAAATGTATATATTATTTTTTAGACTATGTGCGGAACATTCTGTACTAATTGCACAGTAATCTGCTATCCTTGTTTTCTATTTGCTTTCACTATCTTGCAGATTTGAGCCAACCAATTTTCTTCTTGTTAAGGTAGAAACTCGATTCACAGATGTTTTCAGACCAGAAACTTGCAGAGTCGTTCCAAAAGATAAAATAAAAATTCAGATTGCTGAGTTTTTTTTTCAGTAAAATTTTGCTTGGTTTCTCTTTTCGATAAACGACTTGATAACTCCGTACCAAGTTTTCAGTCGAACTCTTCTAAAGTACACGTCTTCATTTAAGTTGCCTATCAAACCCGTGGTACTATCAGCGCCCATGGTATTCCAAAATCCAAGAACAATATTCCAAAATCCCAGGCAGAAATTTATCTTACTGTTTTGAACTGTTTTCCACTTATGAAGTTCTGCGAACAATTAGGTCCTACTAGCTACAAATTATTTATAAAAATTGTTTAAAAAAATGAGAGATCAGATATTAGGCAAAAGCTAATACGATATCAACTTCGCTGATTTGCCAGCATTCTTTGGTTTAACTACAAATGCACTGAAATCTTTCGGTCTCAAAACAAAAATGACGAATTTTCCGACCAGTCTTAAAAAAAAGAACAATTTTTTTTTTCATATTAGTGTCGTTTTTTCTCTGCGTGGTGTGATAAAAGGAGCTGAACGAAAAAGTAGAGAATAAGCATAATCAACAAATTGAAAAATAATTTTTGTAGAAGAATGACTAGAAAAACAAAAAAATATGTATAAAGACAATGTGTTGTGCAGTTTTTTGAATTTTTGGAGGTTTTTGATTCCAAAAAGGCGCTAAAAGACTAAAAAAACTAACGTTACTTAAGAACTAAATTTTTACTTTTTAAATTAAGCGATTGTAAACAACTTTCAAGCCATTAAAGTAAGCTATAGTAAGCCTGCTCGCTCGCTTTATTCGCTCGAATTAAGACGAAAACCAAAAATTTCCAACCGGTTTTTCTCGATCGGGAAAGAAATATTTTGAAACATTTTAATGGCGTTCGAGATACGACTTAAGAGCTTTACAATAAAATATCACTCAACTCTCGCCGATGACTATTTGGGGTAGCTGATTTTGCGTGGAAAACAAAATAAAAGACAAGGATAAGCGGTTACTGTGCAAGTAGCACAGAATGTTCCGACCACAGTCTTTGAAAAAATACATTTTTTTGTTTCAAATTTTTTTTCGACACTGGAAACTCTTTTTCGAGTTTTTTATGTCGATCAAATCACGACTGAAAGGGCTTTAACATGATTTATCACTTAACTCTCACCAATGATTATTTGTGGTAGCTGATTTTGCGTGGAAAACAAAAAAAACTAAAACACACCGGAATACGAAGTTCCTCCCCATTTTTCAAATAGTGGGAAAAAATTAAAACACACCCGAATACAAAAATCCTCCCCATTTTTCAAATGGTCGGATCAATTAGGCTGCGACAATTCCCGTTGTAAATTTTCACCTGACTTGACTTCCCTGATCCAGTCTCTCCAACCACCACTACAACTTGGTACTTCTCAAGAAGAAACATGAGATGGTCTCTCGAGGCACAGATCGGCAGCTTTGACCGCTGTGCGTAGATTGGCAGTCTGTTATTCGGATTGTAGACGAAATTCGAAGAATTCTCTTCGGCTCTCCCGCTGTGTTCCAGTGTTGATCGGTCATTATGCACAAAGTTAGCTGGCTGCGAAGCACGAATTGAAGATGGGTCGATGAACTTTGCCATCACATCCAAAATCTTAAAAAATCCACTGGCTGAATTCATTTAATTTTCTCTACACGCTAATCAGCCAAAAACCTAGCTTTACATTTTTTATGAGCTGTGCAAGATTAGATGGAAAAATTTAGTCACAAATCTAAAATGGTTTCATATCAATTGAATTGATATTAAGTGACTGTATCGCATATTGCACAGCACTTCAGCGCCAATACTGAACCTATTTAGATCGAAGGCCTGTTTAGATGAAAAAGCTATGCTACATTTACAGTCCCGGTCCGCGCATGGCCGTTTTTCGGCTCCGTATCTGTGCCAACCTTCCTTAGGAACAAAGCAATTTATAGGCCAATAAGTCAACGAATCATTGAAAACATCTGCTGGCAGTTTTCAAGTTAAAGCTGGTTAGTAGTCGAAACAATTCAAAAATTGCAGTTCCACGCACCTTCAGTAGAGTAGGCAGGTGAACTTACTCTCACGAAAACGAAGAGTTTCACGGATCACCAGACATCAAATGATCATACGTTATAACATGGAGTCACACCAAATCGAATGCTACTATTAAATTTAAGCATCTGTATTTGGATCAAATTTTCTTTCATACTTTGGCTATTATTTGTATTTCAAGTAGACCCCTAATAAGCATACTAAATGGCTTACGCCTATCCCCTCCCAAGTCATAAAAAATCTTGACTCAACTTTCATCTGAAATTGGTTTGATATTTGCGAAAAAAAAACTAAGTCTTTCTTTCTTTCTTCAAATATGTACCAAGAAGTGGGTTACGACTCTACCATATATACACCTGATCCGGAAGTCAGAGGAAATCCTCATGATTCAATTTCTGTTTTAACGAAACTGACTCCACGAGATCGCCGTAGATCTTTTTCACTCCCGATTACCAGTACTCGTTCTGGTTTATGTACAAAGATTGACAATCAGCCCACATTAACACAATCGGGTTCAAATTCTTTAACAGAAAAGAAAGAATCGCATTTCACGCCTCTTCGCTTACCAAGAATTCATGTTTACAACAACCATGATGACTTTGGATCAACGAGTTTGAAGTACGTATATTTTCATCATCATTTTTCGTCATTTTTTCTAACGCAGAAACATATCATCGCATAATTTGGGACACATCGGATAATTTATAATTCAAAGGTTCAGATTGAAAATTTCACTCCAATATCCCAGTGCAAGTACTTCCAGTATAAAAATTTGCTTGGAAAATCACTTTTTAGCGTTCAGCAACTGTTGATAAGCAACCTACTTTGTCCCTGGAAGTGTACAATAGAACTAGAAGAAGAAAAAAATAAACCAATGCATGAAGCGGTGGGAGCATATTGATTCGTTTTTGATATTTCATTAGGTCAATTTTTTCTGCTGCTTTCATTAGTTTATTTAAGCACACATCTACCGTTATGACTCAACAATAGCTTTGAAATCACAGAAAAAGGTTCGGCAGCTCACAAATACGAAGCAAAACTTCGGACCACTTGCATAAAAAACCAGCCATACACATGACAACCAACAAGCCTCATCCATAAGGTCAAGTTAATCGAAAACATTTGTTTTTCACGCAAAACAAATAGAAAAATAACCCTCAAACAAACATCTGCAGTCTATACTATGAAGATCCAAACTTGCTACTTTAAACGAAATGTCTTAGTTTTATAATGCAAAATTACGTTAAAAGCCTGAGCTCATCAGGAGGATGGAAGGAGCATTTCTCGTAGAAGTATGGAGAGAAGTTCGATGAAGCTACAAAAAAAACACTTTCTGAGATGATTCTATTGTCAGAAAGTTAAAAGTTTATTTGAAACTTGTTGACTCATCATAAAACTGCATTTTTGGTGTCATTTGTTTGCCTTTAGTATTCTTTCTCTTTCCAATATACATGACAAAAAATAATAATAACCAAAAACAAGTTTAAATAGAGGCGCAGGTGCACTTCGCCAACACAAACAAAAATTGACAACTAAAAACTTGAATTTCCAAAAAATATATATTTCCTTTTTCAGAGGTGACATATTTGTACATGGAATTTATAAATAGCTTTTATAGGTTAATAGACGTTACAGTTCTTAACATGAGTGAATATCATCTATTGACGTCAATCATTTGATATGTTTGGCAGTAATTAACACGAAGGCAAAGCGGAGCTTCGCACCACTTGCGATACTCCACAATCATAGAAAAGAGGTAAATCGAAAAAATGAACAATGTTGAAAAAAACTAGCTGAACCAAAGTTTTGGTATGTCTCTGACGGACAACTAGGGCTCAGCCAAAGCCGGAGGTACATACTTGATATTTTTTGAGTTTGCTTTACTGATGCGGGACGAAATGTTTAATATCAAAAACCAAAGTGTTTATTAACTAAAACAAGTGAAAAAATGAAAATCTAACCTTTCATTTACAAAACTAAGAGGAATAGCAGTTTCTGCAGGCAAAACTCGCGCAACCGCTTCTTTCTATTGAAATTTTCATCTCAGATTTGAGGTGTAGTTTTTAAGAAAACTCAAAATTGTCACAAAACTGTCGAAATTCCAGAACTTTCCGAAATCGTTAAAAATTTTTTTGCTAAATACAGGATTGAACACTTACGAACTTACCTACAAATTTGCACGGTAATTTTCGAGCAGACTAAAAAAAATTTCCAAAAAAACTGTTCAATTTTCAAAACTTTCACTTGCGTGAAGGCAAAAAAATTTCAAAAGAAACTGGGTGTAGCTAATTACAAAGGTAAGCTTTCAACAACCTATTGTGTCGATTAAACCTATGATATCAGATTTAACACGATTTTTATCGAGAAAAGTCCAAAGAACGGTCAACAAATCAAAGTTGAAATTTGCGAGAATCATAGCTTTATTTAAAAACTGGGCGTAGCCAATTATGCAGAAGAGATTCGCCCAATATCTGTTTTTTCGATTGATCCCAAAAACCAAGGTTTGGCAGGGTAACTCACAAGAAAATTCAAAAAATTTCAAAAAACGGTCAAAAAATCAAAATCAAAACTTTGACGGCCATAACTTTTCGAAGGACAAAATTTGGGTGTCAAAAAAATTCAAGCCTAGTCGCATATGCAAAGGATCTTACTAAAACTCGTTCCATGGATTGAACCCGAAATTTCAGATATGAGGCGATATTTTCTGGTTAAACTCATAAAATTTAGAAAACAACACTCCGAGGACCAAAAATTTTGTGTAACAAAAATGTGAGTGACCTCTAATCGCGAGCGTAAATATATTCATGGCGATTCGATCGAATTTGCCTTGACGAGTAGCGGTGGTTAAGAGCTTGCGTCTCTGCCTCTCAATCGAAAAGTCGGATGTTCGAGGCCCACCATGATCCGAGCTCTTTGCTTGAGGATGATGAACACTACCCAGCCCAGAAAAATAGCCCAAAAAATGTAATTCTTAAGCAGGGACAAAAAAGTGGTTCTCCCTAAAGAGCTGATTAGCTCGTATGTTGGTCTTTTCCCGTGTGGATAAATTGTCCTAAAAACAGGTCTGACATGAAATACATGTTTTAACAATCTTTGATATGACTGTTTAGATCATTGAAACAGGAATGGTATCAACAGAATGTGACACCGCAAGTGGTTAAATCTAATCTGATAGTCCGGAAAAAATGCTACTCGATGATCTGCTTGGAAAAACAAGCTGCGCTGAATGAGGCAAGGAGGAAACTCGCTAGAGCAAGATATAGAGCATTGTGGCACAAAGCGTTTCGCAAAATAACGTATGAAAAAAGAAAAACTAGACAAAGGGTGTACAATTATTGGAGAAACGCTGCAATACAGCTTAAAAAATTGCACTACGATAAGAAAAACGGTCAAATTAAAGACAGATTTGCTCACTTATGCGGAGAATTCGAAAGACTAATGACGGTTGATGATTGGAGGCAAATACGGCGAAAAGAATACAATTTGGAAAAAATGATGAGAACAATTGATAATCGACATCGTGAAAAAGTCATGGACCAATTTAGAAATGCTTTAGTAAGTCATTGTTTGATTATTAATTTAAGTGTACAGTACTGAAGCGAAACGAAGCTTCGCGCCAATTGCGATACAAAAATTATGCATTTTTACGCGTTGAATTTTCGGTAGTTATAGCTTTCAACAAATTTATCGGACGTCTTAAATAATTCTGACCTTGAGACATTGAAATGGCGCCAAAACTGCAGCCGAATTTTCATAATTGCTTTTACGAATGATTGCGCTTTTTAGGACAATTTCATTTTTGCCTAATTTAGAGAGCACCATTAAGAAACACTTTTCATTCGATGATTTGCTATGTAATTTTTCAGAGCAAAAAAAAACAAAACGCCGACAAAAAGGCAAACACGAAATTTCAAAGAATTATTTTGATTTAGTTTTAATTTGAAAACTCAAACCACGCGAAGGAACTGTTTGAAAAAAAATCCGAGAGTATTTGCAAAAAAATAGACGAACAATAATCCGACAGTTAGTTTTTCTCAAGCCCCAAAAATTTCAAATCGAAAAAAAAACATATCCTGTCAGGATTTGAACCAAACAGACATGGACGTTACCTCTGCGTCAAAATTGCAGAAAAAGACGCTGAAATTGAGTTGATAATAAATCAAGATATAAAATGATTCCGAGTCAATAATATATCAACGAAGAACCCTTTCAGTCGTGATTCGAGTGAAAATTTAAAAATTCCACAAAACTTTGTGTCGAGACCAAATTGATATTTGGTCTAAATCCGTGCAAATGAAATGAGCAAGCAAGACCTGTTCCTTTTTCAACCAAAATCAGTTATCATAAATAATCATTGGAACGGGTCGCGTGGTATACTATACAATAGCCCTTTCAGTTGTGATTCGAACCACATTGAAAAGTTTTCAGGAAGTCTCAGTGATGAGAAAAACCAGTTTGAAATTTTTGACTTATTCCGAGCAATTACAGCAAGCAAGTAAAGCGATCGAGTAACGTCTAGTTTAGGCGGCGAAAATCTGATTTTACTGAACAATAACTAGTTTTATATGATTTAATTGTTTGTTTAGAGGGAAGAGGAGAGGGAAGCACTGCTTAACAGTCTTATTAAAACTGCAAAGAATGAAGACAAACGACTAAAAGAGAATATTATCATCAAACGAGGATTGAAAAAGCCAGAAAAATTAAAGACGACAGGCAAATGACTCATAATCGGCTTTTTAAAGGTTTTGCATAAATCTTAAATAATCCGCTTAACTTCTTACAGAAAACAACATATCTATAGAAAAATTCTTTAGTAAAGATTAGAAAACAACTTGTGACATTCAATTTGCTTACAGGAGCGCGATTATTATTAGCTTCTTCTAGCTAATAAGAAAAAAGCACAAAATATTCATGTTTTGTTCTCTCATCTGACAAAAATTTGTTTATTTATTTTTTTCAAAGCCAAACAATTTTTCCAGCCAAATTAATTTTTAGTGAAACTTTTCTTTTCCTCTCTCTCTTTCTTTGGTCAAAATGTATAATCAATGCTCTGCAGAACCAACTTTAAAATCAGGATAGACTATAAGGTGAACAACAATTCTGAGAACTCAGTTATTACTTTAAAGACCTTAAATTTTAAAGATTTTAAATTATTTTAAAAACTGCCAGCCTTAGCATAGCAAAATCAACTGCATAGTAGAAAATCCATTTCAAAAATACTGAGTAAAAAACACTTCATTTAGTGTAAAAAGTCTGTGCATAAATAGAGTAAAAAGGTAATAAAGATAAGTTCTAATTTTTTTAAGTTGGCTGCCTAAATAGTATTCAGTAAAACGAAAATTTAAACACTAGTTGAGGAACTGATCTGAAAACTTTAATTGATTTCGTAAAAATTAATCGCATGAAAAATTTTTCAAATCGTTTGAAAATGCACAGGTTATTGAAATTGTTTGATAATTTTGAGGATGGGTGATCTTTTTGAATAATGAAGTTCAATTGTAAATCATCCTAATTTATGTGGGCATTAATAAATAATGCCAAGTTTAACACAATTATTGATGTGCCAGTCGGTCATGTCTGGAGGTTTGACCTTGAGAAACACGTAATTTTGGAGTGAAGTTTTGATTTTGAAAATTTCGAATGGAGCCTGTCATGCTCAGTTTTCTCGAACCAACTGAAAGCAAAAGAGTGAAAAATCAGAGCGTCCGAATTAACAATTGCGGGAAACTACTCAAGAAAAAGGCAGGAAATTGCTATTCGCAATTTCTCGATACGAAATAATAAGAGAGTAGAGCTGTCTTATCCCGAAAATAGGAGAACTGTGACATTCGACCAGAATGGCCAAAATGCAATTTATGCAGGCTTCGAATTTTTAGCAGTAAGCCTTCCGAGTTGATGATTTCGAAGGATTAGCGACGTTATTGGAACGTTTAGCCAAACGGTGAGGGCTAGAATATTCTAGTATTTTAAATTTTCAAAATTTCGAGTGATGACGACACATTTCTGAGAAATGCTGAAACGGCCATTTTAACAAAAAAGCGAGTAAAAAGCAGAACAACTTTTATCTGTGATTGCGAACAGAACGAAAATCGAGATTAAAGAAAAACAACAACGAACTACAATAGCAGAGAACGTTCCAAGTTGCAACTATTGTGCTGCTACAATAGTTGCAAGGCCGTTGCCAACAACGGTGAAGGGTGAGAACCAGCCTTCCGGATTGGTGTGAAATTGAACTTAAGGAGCTTGATTCACTGGATTCAAGAATCCGGAAAGGTTTCGGGACTGGAACTTTTAACCTTTTATATAAACTTTTAGCTTCTTGTCATGTCCTGAATTGAATTTAATTAACAACTGGATTCGTTTTGATAAGGATGAGAAGCTAGGAGTTGGGGGAAAGGGTTGATCCATCTTCGATGGAGATGATGATTTTTATCTACTGAACAAAAACAATAGTAATATGATAAGTAGTAGCCCTGTTTTTAGGAGTGACCTCGTGGTCTGGGGATACTGAGACCCAGCCATGAGCTCACTAATTTTGCATGTAATTCAGTTAATTTGAGCGTTCTGGTCGAAGCCGGGGAACAGTAACGTTTTTGTCAGCCTGATGTAAGAAAGACCACCGAAAAGTACTGGCTTGGTAGAGACGGTGAAAAACATGCAAAGCTCTGTTTAGACGCTAGCCAGTCGTCTTAAGACTTAGTTTTGTTATCCGTCGATATGTATCTTCCGGGCGAATGTTACATGTATGTTTTTATGGCGCTCCTGGGTGTTATTCTTTCGTAACATCATGACCGGCGGAACCGTTAACGAGCACTCCGCGCCGAGCGGATGCTCACATTAACGCCCTTAATAGGCCTAAACTGCCGGGGCGGAAGGGTAGTTCGGAACGCGGAAGCCTTCCGGATTGCCGTGAATAGTTTTTTAACCTAGTTAAGACCGAAAATTCATGAACCAGGAAGGGTGGGGGGAATCGCGAACCCCTCATCCCCTGAGTGGTTTGTGACCAAAAACACTTAAAGATATAAGCAAAACCAAACAAAAAGTAGTATAGTACCCAAGAAAAACAAAAAACATAAAAAATAACCGAAAAAACCAAAAACAGTAAAAAAGTAAAAAATCAGTAGAAATCATCCCCCCAGACAAGATGTGATTCAACCCCCCCGTTTGTTGTTGATAGATATATTGTTGTTACAGGCATTTATATCAGTCAGGATCGTTACGATCAATTTTGTGGCCCGTTTGTGAGGCTTGTACTGTAGGGTTATTTGAGCATTTAAGCACGTTAATGATAAATTGCGCTCAATCCGGAGGTGTCAGCTGATTTGCGCTCAATTCGGAAGGGTCTTGGGTGAAGACCGATCCGGCAAGCAGTACAAGGAGCAACAAGAAGGGGCTCAACGACAACAACAATCGACTGTTGGGTATCGTTAACAAGTTTTGTATCCATTTTGGTACAAAAAGTAAGATAGTAATCTGTGGGGGGCTCGACAGTGCTGCACTGTAGTGACCCTTCACCGAACTGCGAATATCCGAGTTAAGCACCTTAATTCGGATAATAAACAAACCCGAGGGGGTATAGTATTACTAATATTATTACTTAAATAGCCTATATTAATAGTCTTATATCGTTTTTCAGTGAAAAACAACGAAAACAGACCGGTTTTTAGGGTCAAAATAGCGATATTTTGATCCCCCCACAAGTCGCGATTTTTGAGATATCGATATTTTTTGAAACGGAAAAAAGCGCTAAGTTAGTGTGTTACATCGTAACTGCACTACTGTAATAAGTAGAACCGGTTAACTTTAGTTCGGAAGTGGTTGGAACTAGTTTGGTACCAAAAACCAAATTTTCCCAATTTTTGATAGTAAGAAACACTATAAAATCAGAAAATTTTTTGAAATCTTTGAGTTAGGACAGTAAAAATAGTTGTTCGGACAACGTCCACTAGTGAATCTACGAGTTTTAAAACCCGCTACCCGAAAGCCTTCCGGGTTGCAGAGAAATCGAACATAACGTGTTTGATTTGGTGGATTCATCAATCCGGAGGGGTCCAGGTAGCATAGTTTTTCGCAAATTTTTTCTACAAAAGCGTTTTAGATCGGGTTTTTTGCATTGAACTAGAAGAGTATAGGCCTTGTGAGCTCAGATCAATAATTTTTAGGTCGAAAGGACCAGATTTGCGGAAAAAGTTAGGCGGAACCTATAAGAGAGAAAATTTTTGAATTTGGAAAAAAGACGTTTTGGTTAATAACTTTGGAACTACAGAGCATATCGAGTCAATCTTGGTACCATTAGATCAGAAATTAGCTGAACTTACTAGTAGGAAAGAGAATTACTCGAAAAAGCGAGCGAGAAAGTTTTTTGAGATTGTTTTTAGCAAATTACACAAATCCGGAGGGGTACACCCTTCACGTTTTATAAATTCTTCTGAAAAACCCTTATACCCCTACCAAAAGTTGATAGCGATTGAACTAAGTAATTTAGGACAGTTCTAGACAAAAAGGGAGGGCTGAAGGCACAAGACAACCATAATAGAGTCGAGATTAGGCAAGTGATAAGACCCTTCACCGTTAGTGTGAATTGTCAAATAAGTGCCTTAACTTCAATCCGGAGGGGTCTAGGAAAGGACCCTATACCCTTCCCAGTTAATTCAAACAGCATAATAGCAACGCAGAACGTATCCGGAGGGGTATAAGCTGAAATTAAGAAAACTACAAAAAGCTACTTTGACAGAGCTAAGGGCTCCCAATCCGGAGGGGTCGAAATTTTTCAAAGTCAGAGGGGTCCGAATCCGGAGGGGTCTACTTTCCACAAAACCGGAGGGGTCCGAATCCGGAGGGGTCTTATAGTTGCTAATTCCGAGGGGTCCCAATCCGGAGGGGTCTATATTCTGACAGTCCGGAAGGGTCCTATTTGTGCCAATCCGGAGGGGTATCATTTTATTAAGGACTTAGGTAAACGAAAGAAAGACTAAAAAGCGAGAGGTATTAGGTTATTAATACACAGGCTAGGTATCAGTGACTGCACTGGTAACTTGCCTTTCAAAAAGAACCAGACTAATACAAAACAGATCCGAACTCGGATATTCGCGACACTAAGTCTAAATTAGAAAGAGCGTGACTCATTGGTGTGGATTGAAACATAATACGTTTTTGGGAAAAGTGACTGCCCTGAGGATTTTAGTAGGTCTAGCTCGGGCAGTCCGAAGGCAGATAGGTAACACAATACTCGGTGGGTGCAATAGACGCCCACTTGAGAAAATTACTGCCTTCAAAGTTTTGTCTGTTTGGTGCAGCACCAAGCAGGGAAAGCTTTTTCTTTAAAAGACAGGTTCGACTATTGTACTGCGACCAACTAAGAGTACAAGACACATACGTTTTTTTTTTTATATATATACATTCATATTGTGTCAATATATAATTCTTGTTTTTGATTTTAAATCAACCTAAACTGTGCTTGATTGGGTAGTGACTACACTATCTTTTAAATTGACTGATAACATCATATTGTGCTAGTTTCCAGATCTTTGGACCGATAATCGGCTAGTGTGAATAAATTTTATACAAACTGTACTCTGACAACATACAGGGATTCGTGGTCACTATTTAATAGAATCTGGTGAAATTTATTGTGTTGTGTCATTATTTTTGTTAATAAAACTATAAGGTCTCTAGCAATTGAGTCAAGAGTAGGCATAGGAAAGTGAAAAATAAAGAATGAGTTTAGACAAGTCAAGGATACCAAAACGAGGTAATAGCTCTAGGAAATTCATACCTGAAAAGCAAAGAAAAACGATGACCGATCCTTTTGTGGATTGGATCAAGCGAACC